GTGGAATGGGCTCTCGTAAGGGTAGCTGGATTCAGGAAAGGCCTCTGCCCCCAACCCCTCAGCCTGCCTTCCCCTTGCCTCCCACCCCATCCACTGTGACTCTCACAGTGGGCCCTGTCGATGGGGAAGATGACCCCAGCAATGAGTATGCTGGGATCGGCTTGACTCCAATCCCAGCCCCAGCACCTACTGGAGACAGTGTTGGATATGTCAAGCTGCAGGTCAGTTTTCACAATGAAATTAATGTATTGTTACATGAGAACAAAAAACTAATTAATTACTACCTGTCTTAATTATCTTCCTTTTATCATTTCCACTCAGATGTGCCCCCCAGTCTTTTCTTTATTCTAATGTTTGTCTTTCTGCTTCAACACACCTGTACCTTTGCTGGTAACTGCATGTCGTGAGTGGCCATGTAGTTTTTTGGGTACTGATTGTTTTCTCCTCTCAAAACTAGGGCAAACCTGAGCCGCCTCATGATGCCCTGGCTGAGAATGGACAGACACAAACTATCACTGCAGAGCCAAGAGTGAGTCTTTTCCTCTGTTTCCAGCTCCACATGCATCATCCTTTCTATCAGCGTGCAGGCTTTATTAGATTTTATTTTGACGTACCGAAACACACACAGCAACTCCACACAGATAAATCATTGATTCACACTGTGCTCTGTTTACTAGGGACCACTGTGACTCATTAATCCAACTTGCAGCAGCTGTTTGCCTCCCGATGAGGTCTTTATACTGACAGTGTTTACCCATCATCATATAGCTTGGTGTTAGATTCTCCCCTGTTGATTGGATGAGTCCTTGCACTCCTCTGTTATTGCGTGGAGTGTGAGGGAATGTGTTTTTAACGGTAAAGCTGTCATGTGTTTTTCTAAGAATCTGACGTCAAGGTCTCCAGTTGAAAACCTGCGACCACACACATACGCAAAGTTGCAGTCATGCATTGTCTTGTGTTATCTCAAAGTCAGTTCTGTTGCATCAGACTGAAGTCATGTCTTTTTATCACTCAGTCTACATTTTTCCTGCTCCTTACTAGCTTTCTTTGTGTTGCCACAGATGAGTAACAAGAGGTTAATTGTAAATCTCAACAATCATGCCTTACATCGGATGGAGGCTGCAGGACAATAAGTGACAGAAAAGGCAGTCATTCTTTCAGCAGTCGCTCTTGTTGATGTTTTGTACGCGTCTTGTGCGTTTGTGTCTGACTTTTCTCAGACTTTAAAGTTTGGTGGAAGACTCTGTCAGCTTTATTTAAAAGAATTTGACAGCACATGCCTTGCTATGTACTAATAGTTGGACATTTTCTGTCGTCATCAGGACGATGGCGCATTTTTCAAAGGGATATGTATAAATGTGTTTTAAAAAAAACACATCACTTTAAATGTCGCAATGTTTTCCTGCCTTAGTTTTCACTAATTTGTGTATGTAGCAATCTGTTGTAATTGTTAGTCATTGGAGCTCAGCAGTCTGGAGTTGATTTGTAACTGATGATTTGATTGTAAGTCATTAATCAAACAAAAACAATAAGCACTCGCTGATTCAAGCTTCTCAGATGTGATAATTTGCTGCTTTTCTTTGCTATATAGAATAGTCAGTTTAGTATTTTGGTGTATTGGACTGCTGGTAGGAGAAACCAAGAACAAGGCATCTTGAACTTTGGGACATTATTATCAATCATTTTCACACTTAATGGACTAAATGATTAATCAAAACCACATCAGAAGACAAATCTAAGTAAAGAGTAATAACATTGTAATATAAAATATGTGTATGCTTTTATGTAACTTACTCAGAACTTCATCTGTTGCTCTTCTGTATGTAACTGAGGTCATTTATCTTTTTATTTTCTCTAATTCAGTCCTTTCAGCTCTTCAAAGGAGCCAAATCTTAAACCTCTCAGCTAATTCTTCACACCTGACATCTCCTGTTCCACACTGTACCATCGCGTTCTGCAAATTTACCAATACTTTCAAATTTCATCTTTCCCTGTACAGTTGACCCCGTCCCCTCCCTTGCCGGGGTCCCTCTCCTTGGAGGACTCGGAGCTGCTGTCCTTCTACTCCTCTCAGAGCCTGGCCCACCTCTCCTGCCTGGCGGACGCCATCGACGTGCTCTACAGCAGCGTGCAGGGCAACCAGCCACCTCGCATTTTCGTCGCCAGAGGAAAGAGCCTCATTGTTACGGCACACAAGCTGGTGTTCATCGGGGATACGCTCTCCCGTCTTCTCACGTCTGCAGACCTCCGGGCCAAAGTGTGTAGAGAAGCCCCTGCACACACTTTGTTTACATGACATTATATGTGTGTGTGTGTTTATGAATTAACATGAGGTGAAAGTGAAATGTGTCAAAGCTGTGTAATACATGTATGTTTATTTCTCTGCCCTCCATCAGATCACCACCTCGGGGGGGCGACTCTGCCAGGCCTTAAAGGCAGTTGTCGTGGCAACAAAGGGCGCCGCACAAAACTACCCGTCAGTATCTGCCACCCAGGAGATGGTGGACTGTGTCGCCGAGCTTTCCCAGCAAGCAGCTGGCTTCTCCACTCTGCTCCAGCGTCTGGCAGAAATATCATCGTGATATTTTGTATCACTTGCGGAAAAAACTTTGTCTACACTACACATATATTTCCTCTCTTTGAAATGCCTTATTTGTTCTTACACTATTTTGTTACCCTGCGTCTGAATGGGATTGAAGCAAGCAATGCTGAATCCTGCATCACGTGTTTGGCCTCGCTGCAGCTGTTCCTCAGCTGGGTTTGGACTGTGTTGGTTCTGTCCCTCAAGTGTGTTGGTTTGCCTTTGTTTATATACTGACTACAGTGCTTTGATGCTAGGCACACTTGTTTTTTTAAGTGTTAACTTATTGAATATTTGAAGCCCCTCTGTGGTTTGAGCGTCCATCTGGACTGCTTATTTTGGGAGCTTTGCTTTAATACGCTTGCCATATTTTCTTGTCCCCTCACTTGATAGCCAGTTTTCCTTCCTTCCTCTATTTATTTAGCCATCCCCCCCATTCCAAAAATAGCACAGGAGGAGGCCTTACATCCTGGTTCGGGTCTGCTTTTTACTGTGATACCTAAAAGGCCTTTTGTGATTATCATTCTGAAGCTGATGAAGCAGCATGTTAAGTGTTTTGGGCTTTATATGGGAGAAATGGAATAGCGTGTGGATTATTGTCAGAAGTTTCGCCAACTTCCATTCTTGATCTGTGCAAATATGTGTTGTGTTTGTGTCGTGCCCATTTTCACTAAAAAGCAAACATTACCTGCAGTATAGCTTGTAATTCACTCAGAGTTTTACAAGAAACATCTCTCAACATATTTCTCAGTTTACATTTATGCAGTCTGATGCATCTCATGAAGGAAAATGAAAGTCCTTTCTAATAGAGAGGGAGAATCAATGAAGAGATTGAGAATGAATAATGATAGCTGGGTGAGAAATGACCTAATCCTGTTCTTTCCCACAGTCATTTATAAGCCTGGCAATGGATGAGAAACCTGTTGACCGAGTTCACCTGTCTCCACATGTCTTGTTATGATCTGCATGGTTATTTTTCTTTGACTTTGTCTTCATTTCCCATAAGATGCTTGTTAACAGTGCTTACTCACATGTGCTTTGAAGTCAGCAACCTTGCTGTGTACACTCGTAATATTTTCATCATTATTTCACACTTACCATATCAAGATATATACATATATATATCAATATTTGGAAATTATTTAAATTGCTATCGTGATAATGATCTTATCCTAGTAAAAGCTGTGAAATGAAGCACAGTCCTCTTTTTAATTGAAATGGATGATTTTGTGTTTTAAATTCCATAAAAACACAAAACCATTTTCCATCTCAGACCATTACACATGCAATACTGTCTGACCTCTGCCCATTTTCACTTGTATTAGCCATCACGGGTAATAGTCCATATGAAGCAACAGTGGAACAAATACTGGACTTACAGTTAAACAAACGTGATGTTTATCATATTTACACATTGTGTAGACACTATCAGCTTCCTTCTGGGGGTAAAGTTGGAATATAACACTTAAGTGTTGGGATCTATCTTTTGTAATGTCAGTCATATAACTGAACCTGATTTTCATGTTTTATTTTTCAGATTTAAATCACTACTACCAGGGCATTTCTTGATCAGTTTCATATCTGTGTGGCTCTGTTGACTGTTCTCTTAGGAATACTGTTACTTCCTGCTTTTAGATTTTCTTTGCTGCAGCGCCACCTTGTGGGGGTTTGAAGTGTTACTCAATGAATATCTGCCTGTCAAAACAGGCTCGTTGTATGTAAGAGCTCATGATCAGCAAGAAACATTTAGCTATATATTTATTATTGTCAGCTTTTCTGTTGTTTGCTTTCCCATTTGCATGGCTTTAATTTGCTTAAACTTTATATATGCACATCCTTCACCAGGGGGATTTTACTAGGTGATTTGCAATGAACAAATGTGTTTTTTTGGAACAATTTTATTTTACAGTTAAAAGATATGGCTGTATTTTCTTTTGTACAGGGAAGTTTGTTTTTTTTCTTTTACACTATGTGAACTCATTGGAGTCTGTTATGCATATTTGCTGACATATAGAAATGAATCTTGAACTTTTCTCCTACAGAGACCTAACATCCCTTACTTTGAACACTACATTTGATGTCTGTCTTGTATTCCCGTTCAGAATGCACAAATACATCTTTTGCAAATAAGCCAGTGTGTTTGTATAAATCATTGCAATGTTTTGTGTGTGTTGTTTGTGCAGGATATTTCTTATGGCGATGCCAAAAATAGATGAATTCTCCAGAGACCGAAATAAAACCGCATTTTTTTACATTTATAATTTGCATACCATTGATAAATAATTGTGGCCAGTAGGCTAAACTGGGCCGATAATGTTGACAACTCTCACGGCACTGTTATGTGAGCCCGACAACCGAGCGTCTCCGGAAACTGCCGAGCTGTGACGCCGAGCAGCAGCCGTAGCGACGCTTGTTGGAGTTTAGACAAGCGGAGTGAGCAAAATGGCGGACGAAGATATTACGCTTGATGGGAAACCTCTACAATCGCTCCGAGTTGCGGATTTGAAAGCCGCCCTGGAGCAAAGAAACCTCCCTAAAAGCGGGCAGAAAAACCAACTCATCAAGCGACTCAAAGGGGTAAGTTTTCTCGCATGTTACGGACGTCTGTGTCGAGTCTGGCTAAGTTCAGCAGGAGGCGAGAGACGTTGGGGGGGTTAACATTAGAGGCCGTAACGGTGTGTGGGCTCCGGAGCGGGAATACATAAATCGCCATGCAGTCGTTATTACACACAAACAACAGCTTTTGTTTTCGGTTAATTGCTAATGACAGTACAGCGGAACTATCTAGCTACCGAGTTCACACTTAATTCGTAACTACTCGCAGTGCACCGTGTTGCACACAGTTGAACTGTGCACCTGTCAAGTCGAGGCCTAAGCTGAGAGTAAGCAAGCCAACAGCCGCACATAGTGTACAGTACATGACAGTGCCCGCGCACGGCGTGTGTATGTGTGTGTGTTGGGCTTACGAGTGCGCGCCTCGCGATGTAAACACAATTTTACGAGCATCGCCAACGACACATTTATGCAAATTTCTTTGAGGAAATTTTTAATAAACACTATTGTTGTTTTGCACGATACTTTACGGCCAGAAACACGAAGCCTCGTGGCCAGGATTGTAGAAATACAGAAGTCTTGAGTCAAAGTCCCCCCTCCCCCAGACAGTTGTTTGGTGACATTTTTTTTCTAAATAATAAAAATCTCAGGGGTATCTTTCCTATTTTTAGGCGTTTTGTTTTCTCCATTGACACTCTTCACAATGCCTGTAAATTTTACTTCGCCAAATTGAATTCTGGTTTAAAGACCTGCAACTAACGATTTCTAACCTTTACGATTACTCTGTAGATTCATTTCCCCATCAATCGTTCGCTGTCTGGTCTATGAAATGTATGAAAACGGTGAAAAATAATAATAAGTGTTTCCCAAAGCCGACGATGACGTCCTTAACTGTCATGTTTTGTCCACAACCAAGATATTCAGTTTAGAAACCATAATATGCTCACATTTAGAAGCTGGAATCTAAAAATTTCGACTTTTTTCCCTTTACCAAATTACTCGGACTGATTAATTGATTATCAAAATTGTTGAAATTTAATGGTTGGCAATAATCAAACAATTGTGGAATTTACTTATCAGATTTTAAAGGAAATCAACTTTGCAATTGAATGATCTTCTGTTAATTAACTGGCCTGGTAACCGCACTCCAGAAAATCCTATGGGCAGATGCACTGCATAATGAACTGACTGAAAAGTCTCACACCCTCTAGAACAGGGGTGTCAAACTGCGGTCCTCGAGGGCCGCAATCCTGCATGTTTTAGATGTTTCCCTCTTCCAACACACCTGATTCAAATGATCAGCTCATCATCAAGCTCTGCAGAAGTCTGATAACGATCCAGATCATTTGAATCAGGTGTGTTGGAAGAGGGAAACATCTAAAACATGCAGGATTGCGGCCCTCGAGGACCGGATGTCGACACCCCTGCTCTAGAACGCCATTACTCCCTTGTGTTTAAAAAATATCATCATGAAAGTGAATACTAGGAATCCACAGTGTGCAGGGTTACTCTGTTGTTTCACAGTGAGTTCACTTATTAACCCAAGAGTAGTCAAATGTATTTTTTACTCTCTAAATATACTGTTCTCATCAACTCATTAATAGCAGATTGTGGAATGACATGCAACAAAGGCTGATGGAAGAATTTAACAAGGAACAATACGTATCTTAATCACTACAACTGTTGAAAATTGCTGAATTTAAAATCCCCATAATATACTCGAGCCACAAAAAAAAAACACCACCATATTCTTTAAACACACTCATTTCAACTTCAAGTAAGAAAATATACATCAACTAATTTGATCATCGTAAACTCAGTGTATTTATTTTGGAAATGTTATTTGCTATTATCTTCAAGAAATTAAGCAATGCTTCATTAAAATTTCACAAAGTTTTATTCAGGAGTTGTAGCATAGCAATACTGAGTGGCACTGACAAATCATGTTTGTACTTTTGCACTGGCGAGTAGCAGCAAACTCAAGCAATCCAGGACAACATTTATGCAACAGATATTTCAAAATTAGCTTTACAGTGAAGTCACTTACAGAAGTAGCCACTAAAATAAGGCGATTACAAGTTCAAAATGATGTCTGGCTGTACAAAGTTTGTGTGTCTCGTAGTTGTTTTCCATTTTCATTGTCACATGGCGTAGTTTAACTTTTAACTTTCCTTGCTGATTCCTTGTAGGCTCTGATGCTGGAAAACCTACAGAAGTCATCCTCCTCACACAGTGGGCTGCAGCCCAACTCTCAGGTAGGAGATTTTTCAAGCTGAGTAAAGTTGATCGTCTAATACAACATGTCAAGCTAATTTTTTTTTTGTGCTATTCTGTGCTGTAGATAGGGGAAGAGATGTGCCAGAACAGCTTTATAAAACAATACCTGGCCAAGCAGCAAGAGCTCCTTCGCCAGAGACTGGAAAGAGAAGCCCTGCAAGAGGAAGAGGCTGATGGTATAACACCTACATAAACGCAAACAATAACAAATCAAACTACTTATGTTGTTCAAACATTTGTACTTCGATAATTTCATGTACTTTAAGTACAACCTCAGTGTCAACATGCTTATAAATGCTGAGTTTACACCAAGCTCCCATAATGGATTATCAAATAAACATTGCTCATTACTGGAAAAACAGAAAAAAAATGTTGTTTCCTCATCGTGTACATTCACTTTATGTGACAACAATATAGTCCGGTTTCCCAACCACTTTTGACATACTTGAAAAATGACTGAAATTTGTATGTATAGACAATAATCTAATGTCTTTAAAAATGACAGTGTTACCGGAGATGGTTTTAAGACGCAAAATAACTGTACTGTTTGAAATGTTGTTAAGGATCCAGTTCGTGTGTCTCAAGAGTATTTGTCCTCTCACACTGAGGTTGACCTTTAACCCCTGACTCGTGTCCCTGTCTGACAGAAAGCCCAGCCGCACCAGAAGAGGATGAAGACCACTCTGAGGACAATGACAGCTCTTCCTATGTCTCTGACAAGGTCAGTAACCTCCACCGCCTGAATAATAAAATGAGGAAAACAAAGGATTTGTCACACAGAACTAGACAGATTAAATATTGCTGTGAAGAAAAGATTGTTTACATTTTTCACACACACTATACATTACTTAGACTTGCACAAAATAACTGAATTTTCTCACTCTTTAAACTGTTTCTATGGACTCTTGATAGAGCTCCTACAGCATTGACATTGTGCTTGTTTATGCCATTTTAAAAAACATAAATAAAACAAAGGTAATCACGTTCCCTCTTAGAATAACTTTTTTTCTGTGCCCAGCAGCATCGAATGATGCCATCCCAGCCCTCACTGGCCACATCTGAGGAGAGAGGAGGAGGAGATGCAATGATGGGTCATAGCTCTGGTCCTGCCTTCCATCGCCAGGAGTCCCCTGAGGCTCCAAGTGCAAGGATGCATAGAGCCACCTTTCTCCAAGGACACAAGGAGCCGCCAGCCCCCTCTCCTCCCCGTGCGGTTGCCTCCCTGTCGGTGCGTGTTCTGGGGCAGCCTGACCGCCAGGGACTGCCCCCTGCTGTGCCCCGAGCCCAGGAGAAGGAGGGCACTGCACCGAGTGAGCCAGGATCAGCTCATCCTGTTCTCCACCTCAGCCGATCTGCCGGGGGTTCAGCAGGAAGTCACGCCCACGAGGACAGCGATGAAGGTGATGACGGCGATGATGAGAGTGACGATGAGGACTGGGGTCCCGGTCCTGGCGGGGTACGAAGGGGGAACAGAGTGCCTCCCCTGCCGCAGCAGATGCCTCCCAGTCTTCCACCAGCAGCTGCAAGGTCCAAACGCAAGCTTCAGCCTCCGCAGCACATCCCACCGCCACAGGTACAACACACTCCCATGCAGCTGCGCCACCCCACTCCTCCTCCCTCTCCACCCCCCAACCTGTTCTCCCTGCCTGACACTCCCAAACAGAGCCCCCCAGACACAGATGACCATGAGGCAGAAGGTCCTGAAGCTGCACGTGGCCCAAGGGTGGCGCCTTTCCAACCTCCCACCATGCAGAGGCAAGACTCTGACACAAGCTCTCGTTCCAGCAGTCCTGAGCCCCCTGTGAAACGCAGGCCAGGACCCCTTTCTCTGCTTGTACACAAGATGGAGTCAGAGGGGGCTTTCGGTGCCATGAAGTCCACATCAGCTGATGGCATGTCATCAAAGACACCATATTCCACTGCTGGCTCTTCTAGTGAATCCTCACTTCAACGATTGGAGACAAAGAGGCAACAAGAGAACAGAGAGATGGAGGAAGAGAGGAAACTAAAGGAGGAGAAAGAGAGAGAACGACAGCAGGAGCTGGAGCGAGAACGAAGGAAAACACAAGAGCAGGAAAGAGAGAAGAAACGCTTGGAAGAAGAGAAGGAAAAGGAGAGAAAACGACTGGAGGAGGAGAGGAAACAGCGCCAGAAAGAGGAACAAGAAAAAGAGAGAAAACGTCAAGAAGAGGAAAAAGAAGAAGAGAAGAAACGCCAGGAAGACAAGAGAAGAGAGGAGAAACGGCTGAAGGAGGAGCAGGAACAAGAGAAAGCTATCAAACAGAGAGTGGTGGTGACTCAGGCCCAAGATTCAGGCTCCTCATCTGATTCTGACTCCAAATCAGACTCCTCTTCACGCTCATCACAGTTTTCCTCCTCCTCTGGAGATAAAACCCAACCTGCCATGCAGCTGAAGGTTAGTGATCAAACTGTTGTGGGTGTCAGTCATTCTCAAGGGGCTCAGATAAAGAAAATGCATATTGCTGTGCCGTATTGCATCACTGTGGACTGTAACAGAAATGCTTGAGTGTGCTTTGTTTCTGTTGTTGTTATCTGCCATAGTTGTGTCCATAACCCATGCTGAAGTGTTGTTTCCATGTAGAGGTAATTCTGGTCCTGAATTTGTGCAGAAGTTTGACTGACATGTCCAGTTGCTTTCTTCATTTAACATTTTCCTGCCTTCCAGTTTGCATTTGAAATAAAACTAGCCTTCCATGGCTAGATGTTGAGCTACATTTTAACAGCAAATGTCTTTGAGGATGTTGTGATTTGCCTTTTATTGTTTTTACTTTCAATCATTTCACAGAAGGCGGGCCAACGACAAGAGGCACGAGATGAGAAAAAGATGAACCAGAGTAAAGGGGTGGAGAAACCATACCTTTCAAAAAGGTCAGTAACCATCAGTGAAGTACAGATGACTTTAATTACTCAATTTGTATCATGCACTGTGCCTACTGTTCAGAGTGATATGACACATACACTTACTGCAGCTTTCCTGTACTATTTTGCAGCAAAGATGTGTGTTTCAAATACATTTAGAGCTTTTCCACTGAATGAATCTATTCTTGCAATATCTTTCCACTCATGTGTATTTCTCTCCCGTTATACCGTCCTTGGACAAACAGTTTTGGCTTTATCAGTTTAACAGGCCCAGACACCAAATATGTGGTATGCAAAAATGGAATTTACACATGTTTATGAATCTTATTGGCTATTTATAACTGCTCTCCAGAACGTTTAATTTGTAGAATAATTTACTATAGAACAGGCTAGGCACAGTACTGTAGTTATGATTTTGATTTCTGGATATCCCAGCTTGTTACTGCTTTTGCTGGTGAGGGTGATAGATTATAAATCCTATTTCAGGGTTAACTTTTTTGCAAAAGCTGGCAAATTAAATGTTGCAAAGAAATCACAAAAAGACAACCTGCTGGCTATTGAGGGCATTTAGTGATGTCTTTCAATCTGTGAATATGTCTCCATCTCCACATGAAAGTATGTACACAAACATGGACAAAATCACAGACTTTTGTAGGTGTATATTTTCATGCTTCTTCATGTTTTTTTTATATTTACTTCAGCCCTTAGAAACGGTGTTCCCCATACATCTTCCAGCAGAAGTACAGCTGTAAATATATGTCAAAATTGAGCACTGTCTCTCTAGGTGCGATGTTTAAATGTGACCGTAGGAGGCACAGAATTTGTGTTTTTCATAGATGGATCACTTATGAGGGCATTCCAATATTGAAAGATTATACTTTTCAGGAGAATGCTTAGTCGAGAACTTGATCTGTGAAGAAGAACCAATAGTTGTAGTTTTCTTTTTAATTACCAGGGTTTTCTTCTCTGTCTGTAGAGATCTCTAACCACAATGCTGGAAACTCTACTCATTTTAACAGCTTTAGCGTGGAAGTCTGTAATAGCACTGCAGTTTCTGGGCAATCTCATAAACTGGCTAATAGGACTGCTCTGAAGAGTTGTTTTGGATGCTTACTCACTTTTAGAAGTGCATTCCTGCTTCGGGTTTACGATTGATGGTGGTTTCAATCCTACTGTTTTTTCCTTATAAAGTGTGAGGTCTAAATTGTGAACAAAGGCTTTATGCTATTCCATCGCAGACAGATAGCCGGGAGTGGAATTTATATATTCCAGAAAGTCTTGAAACATTAGTCTAGTAGCACCATAAGATGGTGAATTATTCAGTGTGCTCCAGCCCTGTTTTTTGTAAAATCCACTTCGGCCATTTTGTATAGAAGAGATCACCACGTCACCCGTTTAGTAAACAGTTCCTACTAAAACCTGTCCTTAAAATATGTAGGAACATTTCCATATTTCTGCATAGCATACTAACTTATATTAATTAAATATGTTTTTTTGTGACGTGATTGTTACAGATAGAGGGGTTTATTTAATCACATTTGTGTAGTATTTACCACTGCAGCAGGAAGGACCGTGTCTGCACTGAAGTCAGGTGAATAAACTGATGTGCATTCTGTTTGTCTGCTTTATTAAACTGGGTTGTAATAATGTCAGTTTATCTTAAACTTGGTGGTTTTACTTGATGTATTTGTGTTTTGTTTCTTGTCTGGGGCTTTGACTAAACTGCTTGGTTGTACAAAACGTGGAAAGAATTATCTTGCATGTGTAGTTTGTCAGCCTGTACAGCCATATATCAAAAGAAATAGTCAATTTAGCCTGATGTAAAAGCTCAATGCTCTCTCATTTATGGCTCCTAGCGTGTTGTATTTCTAATCAGGCATTCAAGGAGGCAGCCCCACAGCTGTTGTCGAAAGGGTCCTTTTCCGCGTCACTTTCTTCCTCTGTTGTCTTTTTCGTGTACTTTTCCGCTGTTGCAGGCAGCAGGAGCCGTATTTTTTTTTTATTCAGTGCTGTTCTTTTATTTATCATTATTTTGTGGTTAAATTTCGATATGCGTCACGTTTGAGAGTCAAGCTGAGCTTTTATTTTCAAAGTCGTGGACCGGAAGGTAGCTGTTATACAATGTGGGAGGCTTGACGCTGGCCGCGGTAGCCAACATGGCCGTCATGCATGCATTGCATCCCTGATACCGACGCAGTATACGGCTAATCAGCAATAGGAACAGCAGCGCCGGATTTTTTTTTATTTCGCGTTCCCGATTTCAGCCCACACCTGAACGAAAAAACAGCCGGCGACAGAGTGTCATTTGTTATCAGCGGGGGTTCCCTTTCAAGGCCGGCCATAATGCTGTCCGAAGGCAACAAAAACGGGTAAGAGTGAGCCAGAGGGCGACTCAAGGCTTCAGGCTGCTGGTGGTACTTTCACCCCACTTGACCAGAAATGATCAGAGATACATTAATCCGTATCAGCGTGTCGTTTTCTGCCGCTGTATGCTGCCGGTTAGCTGGCAGCTCCTGCCGGGCTGTTAAATATCATGTCATCAGTTCACGTTGGCCTGGTTATGAGCGGGGTACATGTTCGCCCATGTGAGGAGGACCGGGGGTGGGGACGTCGGTGAAAGCCTTTTGTTGGGTGAAGGAGCAGGGAAGATTTTTTGGGGGGGAGGGAAGGGGGTCTACTTTCTTTGATCATTGCCTAAAATAGCTTTGCATTGAAAGAAACACTAATGAATAAATAATGACCTAGGATTTCATGGTGTGATGAGGAAAAGCATGTAGACATTGATTTCCTCCCTGCTGTCTTTCCTCTTGACCTCTTCATTTTCTTTCATGCCGGCAGCCAAGAGAAGGGGCTTCATCGTATTTCAGAGTATACTTTTTAATACAGCATAAGGACCTCCCTATTTTGTTGTCCTTACAGGCTTGATCATGGCCTTTCCATACATGTGTTTTGTTGTTAAACTCACAGAGGGTAATATTTGTATTTTTGGGTTTGTGTGGCTATAGCTGTTAATGATCTCACTGTTGTCAAGGGAGATCATTAAAGCAGACATCTGTTAGTTGTACAGTCAGTGTGAATGGTCCCTTATGGTGTGATATAATTCTCCCAGCTGGCACCACCACTCACACTCATATCCCCTGGGAGGTGACTGCATGTCTGATTTGAGTGGTGATAATGTTTTGGTCCGGTTTATGTGATCACATTGTTAATTTGGACTTGATCTGAGTAATGTTGTTGATCTGTCATGAGTAAGACTCTGTGTGGTTACTTTTAGTCAGGTTTTTTGAAAAGTTGGAATGTTTTACGGATTGTGATTTGTTCCTTTGGTTAAAATTGTACTTCAGTGTGCCTCCTCATTACTGCCTAGTCATATGAATACAAAGCTGTTTGAAGAGTGAAGCAGAGGCGGCTTCACGGCCGTTACTTGAGAAGAAAAAGCCAAGCATCACACACTTAATATCTCATTCTTTCTCTGTGAGTGATCATTTCATCCCTTTGCTCTGGTCTTTCCTGATCCTGAGGGATTGTATTTCAAGTTGACATCTGTCTCCCTTTATAACCCGTGCAGGTGTGTCTCTGGCCCTGTTCATGAGTCACACATTAGTAGACATTGACATCCACACCGTGGGCAAATGAGGAAAATCTGTGTGTGGTATGGAGGGAGAAAAAAATGCTGTCCTATTGCTAACACTCCTGCCAATGACTAATCTCTTGAGAAGGAGGTTGAACAGGCTCTCCTAACACACTGGGTAGATTTCAGTAATACAGAGAATAACATTACAGGCCCTGCTCTGAAAGATGCAGTGAAGCTCGAGGCTATCCCGCATGATATGGGAATGAGAGGGAGAAGGACGTGGCTGGCTGAGCAGGCCATATGAGTAATTATTATTAGGTTAGATATTGTACAAGTGCAAGTCTGTAAAAGGAATAAAGGGCAGGGCTTTTATTGTTTAGATTCTAAACAAACTATAAATCACCTGGTTAAAAGAGTTATTTTGCTATTTTTTGATAAAAGTATCTCAGTTATGAGCCAAAACGTTTCTATCCGGTGCATGAAACGGACTCTTTGTTTTTGTTTTTTACTCATTTTGACCAAACACTTCATTCATTCATCATGGAATCAGTAGCAGACAGATGAAACAGTGATCACCACATACACTTAATGTTGTTGCTAAATTAATAATATAGTGTGGCTGCTTTAAATTCAAGGCTTTTCTGCTGTAACAGATGAAAAGATTAGAATTGAAGACAAAACTTGTTGCAGGTTCTTGTGTTGCCAAACTATTCACTATTGCTACCAAACATTTCTTTGTACTTTTCAAAAATAGGAAGCAATTTTAAATACCCCCCTTTAAATGCAAACTTTAAAGTCCAATGCAAAGAAGTGTGCAAACGAGGAGAATGAGCACGGTAATAAGAGTGAAGGATGCTAGAGGATGAGATTCTCCCACCTACAGGGTGCTGCCTTGGTGCTTGTGTCATCACATGGAGGCGGCAGAGGAGGCTTTTGATAATGCTGGTAGGGGAAGTTAGGGAGGGGAAGCTAAAAATATAATGATGACATCTGCTTGTTTTTATCTCCATCCTAGATAACAGTGATAAAATAAAATAACGCGAGAAGGAGCGTTTGTGTGAGGTCTGACTCACAGCAGTGCGCGGTTTTCATAGGCTGAGTTAAAGGTGGGGGTTTTTCTCTAACGACCCCGTATGGATCAGATGAAGACCACACATGGAGTCATCTGTGAGCGTATGTCATAAAGTATGAGTTAGTTTTAGGAGTGTTTGTGACCCTGGGTGTCAGTTAGCTGGTGAGTTATTTATAGCAGGAGTGACCCAGATCAGTGGCCTCCAGCACCCTTCCTGTGACTCTTCCAGTGTTCGCCTCTGTCTTGTCCTACACATCAGTTTGTCTCCGCTTACACTAACCCTGTCTTGGGAGCTGAGCTTGAAAGCAGTCTATGCCTGTCTTCAGATTGCCATTGACGAGGGCCACACATGCTGATTTTTTTTTTTCTTTGCTCCTTAATCTGCGAATTGTTTTCTTGATTAATCATTTGATCTATAAAATGTCAGGAAACAGTCATAATGCCCATTATATGGCCACGAAATAGCTTGTTTTGTCTGACCAGCACTCCAAAACCAAAAGATTTAGAATTTGTTATCACACAAGACAAGAAAAACAGTACTTTGAAGAAGTTTGGCCCAAAAGAAGTCTTAAAAGCATTTTTCTGTACAGGTTGTGCGTCTATGACGTGTACAGTTTCACAACACCATTGTTACATCAGTGCAACAACAAGATCGGCTGGATGTTTTGCGGTTTGACTATTACAAAGCAGAAGATTGACTTTTCGGCAGGGAGGAGCAGGACATGCCATTGAGCCGCCATCTTTGGTGTTTTAGAATTCTCCCATAGATTTCTGTTCAAGATCCTTTAAAAGGCGATTCTGTCCCTTTATAACATCTCTGTTTAAAATAATTACTCACCAAAATAGTTCCGCATTACTTCTTTGTTGACGAAAGCAAATTGACTAATCATGTCTACCTTTTATTTATCTTCAAAGCAGTGATACAGCACTGCTGTTGTGTGGTTGTTTTTGCATTGATCTCTCAGGATCAACATAAACGGTTCATCAATGATACATAACATACTTGCATTTTTTTCATTGATCCAGAAACCATAAAGGTAAAATGTTCACATTTTTATGAATCTAAGATTAAGTAATACCAAATAGTTATGAAAAGCATGATTAAAAAGTTTTCAATTTATAACATTTATTGATTAAAGCTAAAGAAAATCTAAAACCAAAGTTGCAAGATTGGTATTTCTCTGAAACAACCTGTCTGGTAACACAACAGTCACACCCACTCAAAAACTATTAACAGCATACATGTAAGGTGCCACCAGGCTTTGTCATCATATTGATAGGGTGTGTGATTATGGTCAATATTGGTGCTTTCTAAAAATAAGATGGTAACGTATTATACCCCACCCTTCCGTCCTCACTCCGACTGTCTTCCTCCTGCAGGGAGGTGTCAGAGCCCAGCGCCGCTGCTGTGACCGAGGTGGAACCAGACTCGGAGAGCTCCATGGCTGAGCAGCCAGCCTCTGGGGCTGAGCCAGAGAACAGCGAGGGCCGCCTGGAGGAGGTAAGGTCACTGAGAGGGTGTGGGCGCCTCTTGGCTCTGTCTCCCACTAACCTGCATCCTCACTCATATATAAGCATGTGTAATTAGCAGTGCAAATTGGGCAGGCCACTCAAAACCAACACAACCCCTGTTTTTTTCTCATACTATTATAAATGCTTTTGGCACCTGTGGCAATTTCATTCATTTGGTTATGACTCAATATATACTATCTGCATCCTTTTAATCTCTTAAATACCGTGAAAATTTCTCTGATATTTGGACAAATGTGCACAGGTGGATGAACAAGGGCTGAGTTGGAATTGGGTCCTGGGGAAAATAGGAATGAACTCATCCCTTCCATCTGCTTTAATGCAACTAATATTTCATAACAAGCTCATTCATGTAGATGATCTCTCACACGTCCAATGTCTGTCTGGGCCCTGCAGAGGTATGTTAAGTGCTGATGCTGTTGGACTGAAAGTAGTGATGTAACACTGAGTTAATTTCAACATTAATGCTGCAGAGAGAGAGCATGCTTCTTATATCACTGTTGTGTGTATGTTTGGGGAAAAAGAAACAAGTTAAAACTTAAAGGCCCTGACACACCAGCCTGACAATCAACCATTGCTTAGTGACTTTTTTTTTTGTTAAAACGCCATAGTTTTTGTGGTGTGTCCAGCAGTGGGGACACTACTTGGCTTTTATTGACAGCAGTTAAAATGATTGAGAATGCTGGATTGATGCTAGAGGTAGTCTGTACGAGGCAGCTCTTTGCCTGTTTTTTCTGCTTTGTGATTTTACTGCTTTAGGTTAAGTTTAGGTGAAATTTCTCACCTCTACCATTTGTTCTTTTGATAACACCATTTAGAGGCAATGAAAAACCTTACAGTGCCTGCTGCAACTTTATATCAGCTATTTTTCTTTTTATCTGAGATATAATGAGACTTTATAGAGTTTTTTCATCCTATGTTTGTAATAAAAACCTTGACTACTCACCATTTTTTTTCTCTAATAATTTGCATCAGGCTCCAACGATCAGCTGTTGTCTTTGCAATATTGCATCAGTCTGCTTTCGCCAGCACAAATTCCTGCGTTTGGTGTGTCAGGGTCTTCATCAGAGTAGAGTTTTGTATTTTATGCTGTCACAAGCTGTTTAAATTGAAAAAAAGTAACATGTTTTTACATTTAATGTCACATTTACAGCTTAATTATATATACAGACAGATGTGTTACTCTAGTTCATTATGGAGTTACTGTTTGATAGATACAGTTTTCACCCATCACAAGTTGCTGCTGTAGAAGCAAACTGAAGAGCAGCATCCGAAGAGAAAATCATAAATTGCAATTTTTTGCATGCTTTTATCTTCCCAAATTAGATTTACTTGTGAGCTTCCATGCTATTAATGTTATTATCAGCATGTGTCTTTCTTAATGGTGTGTGTGTGTGTCTGTGTGTGTATGTGTGTGTGTGTGGATTGTTTCCTCCTTGGGTTTGCATGAGTAATGGACTGTGACATTGTGTGTAGAGATACATCAGGGCTTGTTTCTGCAGTTTCTTTCACACGGTTTTCACCCTCTGCTCTCTGCCTTGCTCCTTTCACACTGCTGCTCTCTCACTCTTATTCACCCTCTCTCTCTCTCTCTCACACTGTCTCTCTTCCCCTCTTTGTCCCCTTACTTTCCATCTTTTGCCTTTGTATCCCATCATGAACGCTTCTCTCTCACTATATATATTTATGGTGTGATTGCTGTTTAAAACCCCATTGATTGCTTTGTTATGAAGGTGCCCATGCCTCTTCCATTGCCCCTATTGGTACCTGCTGCGTACTACTACTACCACCACCACCACCAACACCTCCTCCACTCCTCCTCCTACTCCTCCTACAACTCCTGTCCCGCTATGCCCAAGTGCGTCGCTGGTACCTGAATTAGGCCCAGAGTCTGCAACCCCATGGCACTGAGTAAAGCCTGAGCCTGCAAGGCCTCCTGTGTAGACCTCCAGTGACACGCTGAGCCAGCAAGAACTGGAGCTTGCATCAGACCACCACCGACAGCAGTGGCAGCCATGGTAACTGCAGCAGCACACAGTTGTCATGGTAACCCAGCCACAGGGGTTGGAAGCCTGCACGCTGATCTGAACCGGACTGGACTGTACCGCACTGTGTGGTGGTGATGAATGAAGGGTTACGGGAAGGGGAGGGTGCTTAACTCGCCAAATCGCCTTCCCCTCTCCCCGCCTTTCCCATCTGCCATTTTGAGGATACACACAGTCTGCAAGTGTCATCCTTCAAAAGCCAGATGTAACTCAAGAGAAGACAAAACTCCTCAGCTCTGCAGTTTTGTTTTTCATTCTCCCTCTAATCTCACGCTGCCCTCTGCCTGTGGGGTGGAGTTATGACATTGGACTGAGACCTGCTACAGTAACCCATTCAGTGATGAGGGCTAGATCATTAATACGGTCACTGTTTGGGGTTTTGTACTTTGAAAGACACTCCAGCGATGATTATGGGACTGTTTTTACTGGACAATGCTGTGGATAATGCCTGTTTCTTTGGACGTGATGAGATCATACAGGCCTTTACTCACATTTTCAAGCATCTGGGATACTTCTCTTGCAAGGTTAACAGTCATCCTCTGCTTTGACAAGCTGGCCCGCCTTTCAACAGAGACTGCAAGTAAAATTCTGCACTGACTGTGTACGTAAATTGTGTCACCATTATGAAAGTTGCCATTGAGACTGTTTTCTGCACCAGTTCCAGTTGCAATAAAGACTTTCAAAGGACACACATCGCCAAGGACAAGTAATGTGACACAGATTACGCACTGTGACCATTTATGGGTGCACGGTGACATTGATCGTCCACGCTTGGCCAGGAAAAGTGGATATATTCAACAAATCGCTGCCTCTTCTTTCCCTGCAGCAGCACTGTCAGTGGACTCAAGTGTGACTCAGTGGATGTTTCAACAAGAGGTTTTGGTGTCCTGCCTCTGCTGTGGACCTGGCAGATGGACGACTGCGGTTGATGCTTATTTATTTATATATCCATCTCGTCACTACACCCACAGCCTGGCCATTGCATTTTGTATGATTTTATGTGGGTGGAGAGGCACTTATGCCAGGATTTCCATTTGCCCATTTTGACTTCTTCCCTGGATTGTAATTTAACAAAGACTGGACTATTTTTTTTCCACCGTTATGCCCATTAAGAGACTTCTGACTGGTCTTCGTCCTGTGCTGTGAACTTGCAAAGCAAACTAAAGAATATTTTTAATTTTCTGGCCATGGAATCCAAATGCCTTGGATGACAAACACCTTACGGATAACCTGCTGACATTTCAGATGCCCTGAAGTGTCACAAAGGCTTTCAGGACTGTATGTTGGAGAAACTGGCAACTGTGATAATCAAGGACAATAGCCTCCAACTTTACAGTTTTTTTTAACTCTTCAGATGTGCATCACAGATCATGGACTCTAACAAAGTAAACCTCATCCCGATAAACCCATCAGAATCCATCAGAAGAAAACCTTCCAAAAAGACTGAAATGGGACTCTGTGACCAGCAGTCAGTCAAGAAAAGTCCTCCCCAGCCCTGATCAAGAAAAAAAGTTCAGTCCAGTGATCAGTTCCTGCCTGGTGGCTAATCTGCACACTCAAATCGAACCCTGCTCTCACTCCTCTGGCTTCTCTGATTGGATCCTTGTTGCCTAGATACAGTTCACACTGTCGTGCGGTTGGGCCATAGTCGAGCCAGTAAGGAATCAGGTGTCAAATGGTACCAGGAAATGACTTGTCATTATTCCACTGTTTAAAATGTATACAATTTTAAAGGAATAGCTATATAAAAGAGTCTTTCTCTTTCCTTCTAATCTTTTTTTGTAAATGAGAGGAGTGAATTACTTTCCTCGTAACTTAGTCCAAATTTTTGATTGTCACATGTACTGCAGTTCTTAAAAAATATTTTATCACATACTACGGTGGTCTGTTGCTAAATATGATGAATCTTTAAGGTGAATTTTAACTGCAGTAATGGTCACTCTGCTGACAGATCACTGAGTCTTCAACACTCTGTTCTCCACGTCTGCTCATCGGCTCTAATAATGTTTAATTTCATCACTCAGTTGCAGCACATGATTCAACGACATGCAATGGCTTTGATGCTTAATGAGCACCATTCTGCTATCAGAAAGTCTGTATGTCCTATACAGAGACAAGATCCACTCAATCACACAGACAGACACTTGTGTAGTCTTTTATCCTTGTTGTTCTCAGAGCACTTTAATGGACACAATCTTGTAATAACATACCACATTAAGATATGACCCAGTTTGAGTTTCACATAGGCCTACTCGTGTCCTAATGTACATCACGTACTTACTTCTACTTGTGTCTGTGCGTGAGTCAATCTCACACACAGACAAAAGCAGAGAAGCGTAAAGATTTATCTCAGCGTCTTTGAGCAGAGGTGGATGGCGGAAATGTGTGTGGAGTCTCTGTATCGACCAAAGAACCCTGTCGTTAATGTGGTACAATTGGAGTCTTCAGGCCTCTGTTACTTTAACCCTTCGTTCCCCACCCCTCCTCCACTTTTCCTGTTTCACCTCTTCTCTGTTGTTGCCTGTTTGGGTCTGGACTCTTGGTTCTCATCTTGCCCCGCACCCCTGGGGTTTCTGTATGTTCTCTTTTTGTCTCTCTCTGTTTCCAGAGCACCACTCCTAAGGCTTTTGCTGCTCGCAAGATATCCTTAACCAGTAAGTATGCCAGTTACACGCTTTTCCTTCTCCTGGACCAGAGATAGGAAAGAAAAGGAAAGTACTCTGCTCTTAATATTCAAAAGACAGACCTGTCCGGAATACAGGAACACGTTGGTTTGTGAACATGAGAGTTGTACCGCTGTCATGCAGAAAATGCAGAACTTTAGTGTCACCGTGTAATGAATTCTGCATGACCCCCAGAAGTATTTCATTTTTAAATTTTGAATGAAAGTAGTTATTTCATTTTCCAATATATTTTTTTATTTTTTGTTTGCTAGCTGTTCACTTGTAAGAGGACCAAACCAAAGTAGTCTTGTGTTAGATTTAGAACCGGAGGATAAATCTAATGTCCATGTCTTTGACAGGATCTAAAGCACAAAGTTCACACACTTTTGTCAGTGGTGTACTGTCTACCAGCTTTAATGGATTTTTTAAATAATTAATTGAAGCTTATGACTTCTCAGAGCAAACAGCAGTAGATTAGACACTCGGCTCCTCCGACTGTGGCTTATACATAAATTAATTCCTCCCTTTGTGGATGGAAATGTTGATAGAAATAAAAGAAAATGTGTTTCTACCAAAACACTCGAGTGTTTTGGTAGAAACAAAGTGATTCATAATTGATATTGAAACAAAACACTTAATGTGCTGGTTTGGCTCACAACACCTCGAAAATCATTAGGTTGCATTATTTCCTGCAGGTTTAACATGCTGCAGCAGGGAGCTTGTCTGTGCTTGTGGCCTCACAAGTGCACACTGTATTTAACTACTTCCTATTTTTCCTTCACTGTATAAAGTACTTTTCATAATCGCTGTGTGGTAGAAGACGTGTGCAGAACGTTACACTCTGAATAGCTGCTTAAACCAACCACAGCAAGCATGTAACAACCAAACTAAATATTGTTTTAAATAAAGTATTAGAAAAGAGTTAAGGGAATTATTAAATCTCTCAATTCCACTTCAGAATTTTGCAAACTTAAACGGGTTAAAGCATAGCCTTGGCAGAACTATCTAGGTTAAAGTATTTAAGCAATTATTTCTGCTTTTGGGCTATCAGCTTGCAGTAACTTGTCAGTTGAGTTCTGTTCAACAGAGAGGAAATAACCCATCTTCTGAGTGATAAATCACATTTTTTTTGACTCCTGCAGGCAGCAAGACGTCTCCAGCCACTACAGACGGAGGAGCAGGGGAGCCTGATGCAGGGACTGCAGCAGGGAGGAAGAGGCGATGGGGCTCCAGCACGGCAGTCACGGCTAAGAAACCATCCATCACAATTACCACAGACTCCCTGAAGGTACTGACACAGCACTGGGACACGCACCTGGTGTCCGACAGATCTGAGAAGACTTGTCTAAAATACAAGAAACTGTGCAGCTAGAGGAAAGAAGTATTTTTCAGTATTTCAGTAGAGCATTGTTCTGATTTGGTTGAAGGCTCAAATAAAGAGTTTATATTTCACATTGAAAACACAACCAAGACATGTGTTACTGTCTAAAACGTGAATTAGTGAGCAAGAGTTGGAGATTTTATTTAAAAAGTCAGTCACTCTATAGGTAGTGAAAAAAAGTTTGAACCCCTGAAATATTACAGAGGAGAAACAAAACTGATGCCTTCTCTCTGTGTAAGAGCTAACAGATGAAGTTCAATTATTTATATACTTCTTTCCCTGTTGTATCTTTTTCTTCATGTCCTCCTGTCTCTCTGCTTTAGTGTTTAATACCCGACATCAAAGTAAACCAGGAGGCGGTGGTGGAGCTTCACCCAGAGGAGCTGCAGTTGTCTGGGGATGAGGAAAACCTGGACACCAACCAGAGCGACCCAGATAAAGGCCTCAAGATCCGACGCACTGTCACACAGGTAAGCTGAAGCGTAGCAGTGCTGTTAAATTCAAATGGAGAAAACTTGAACAATTTCTTTCATCTTAATGCCAACAGGAATACAAACCAGGGTTTCTGTTTTTCCTTCTCCCCAGGTTGTCCCAGGCGACAGCCAGGAAAATGGACAGACAAATGAAGAGGAAGAGGAGGAAGAAGAAGAGGTGGAGAAACCCGAGAGAGAAAAGCAACGGAGGACTTCCAGAGACAAAAGGAAGACCAGCCTTTCTGAGGAAGCCTCGGAAACACAGACATCTGTCAACCTTGACGGAGAGGCAAAGAAAGGTAAAGTGCCTCATTGAAAAGTTTGTGGGATTTTAATTGCTATAAATGACTAGATACAAATCTTTTTGCTGCCTTCTGTCTTCCATCATCCCTCTGGCAGTACTTCACCCTTTGCTCTGTCCTTAATTACTAACATTCCTGCTTTTCACACTCACTCTTCTCACCTCTCCTTCATCTTTCCTTCAGTTACCCCGAGCGACAGTCTGGTGCGTCGCTCGATAAGTCAGCAGAAGTCTGGCGTGTCTGTCACGATCGACGACCCCGTCCGCTCTAACAAGCAGCCATCACCGCCTCGTGGAAAGATTTCCAACATCATCCATGTGACAAACTTGGTAGGTTTGTAATTCAGTGCAATATTCTTCCGAGTTAAAATTCACAAAACTGATCTTCCTATTTTCTTGTATCTTTTATGAGTTTGAGCCGTTAACCTTCCTCTCTGGTTGTACAGAATAAATCAGATTTCCATGAATGAGGTGTATTGTGCTGATGCCAGTGGTAACCACAATCATCACCATACCCATAATTAGAGTCAAGAACACTTGGCCAGGTGTTATGACTGTAGTCGGGCATCATCTTAAGTTGGGGGCCCAGCGCATGACTAAACAGACAACGACAAGACGAGACATTACACATTTAATGACTAGCATTTGCAGAATTTTTTTTACTTGCGTCATAGAAGCAAAACTCCAGGTTACACCGTTAATACTGTTAATACAGAATCCAGACAACAGTGGAAACACTAAAGCGAAGGCTATAGTGCTCATTACCATTGTGTTTATCAGAAACCAAAGCTGATGGATTAAATAGTTAAAATGTAGAAGCAACTTTTTTTGATCTTGAACACTGTTGGGACAAAAATCGTACATTTGTCCTGAGAGTTTCACTGAAGAACGTACTTGTTTTTATCCAAGTTTGAAGGACTTGATTTTGATTCTATACTGTTGCATTAATGTAGAAACTGGTTGAAATTCTGTCACTGTAATGAAGTGTTGAACAAGTGGAAAATTTAACCTGTCGATGCCGCCAGATAAACAAAACCACTAGGTCTCTTCCTCTGAGTAACACAAAGATTCAAACCATTATGTTGTACCGACTGACGTCATCCATTGAGCCAGAAGCTTGTTCCCACCTGATGTTACCAAAGTTACAAACTATCCTTCCACACATTGAAAACAACTACAACTCACGGACACCAAACCTGATAGTGTGATGCATTTTAATGTTTTCTTTGCTCTTTTGATTTGCTTTTCACTCAGAGTGTCATCCGATCTAATTCCATTTGATGACCGTTGTCCTATTTTCTCCATAGGTACGACCCTTCACTCTTGGCCAGCTCAAAGAGTTGCTAAACCGGACAGGCAGCGTGGTGGAAGAGGGCTTCTGGATCGACAAGATCAAGTCGCACTGCTACGTCACAGTAAGTAGCACCACAATAACGGTTTTTAATTTTAATTTTATGTAGAGCAGATTCATGATGTTAAGCAGCTACTGTTGGGCATCAATCTTGCTGATGAACTCGCCTAAATTTGGTGCTGTATTTCAGAACAAGCTCAGCTACCAACATACAGAACCAGAAGCAGTTTAGAACTGTTCACTTGTATGTTTTTGGAGACACATGAGAAAACCTGAATTAGCATGGGGTGTTTTTTTTTGTCCATGAAGGCGTGTTTGAGCTGAGGCATTAATAGAAGCATTTGCTTAATAATTGCCACTACCGAAAAACCGTCACCTCTGTGTCCTCCTCCGTCTGGCTCCATCTGTTTCTGGTCTATTTTTGCAGTGTGTTGGTTTCAATGTTATTACAGTTAGGAAGGACTATTTTCTATGTCTTTTCTTTCATCTGTTCTCACAGTACGCTACATCAGAGGAAGCAGTCGCCACCAGAACCGCACTCCATGGGGTCAAATGGCCTCCCAGCAATCCCAAGGTGCTTAGCGTGGACTTCTGTGAGCAGCATGAGGTAATGAAGGACAGAATAAACAAACTGCATGGCTGTCAACACACACAAATACAGTAGATAATGGAGAGGATATTCTACAACTGAAGAATTAAATCATTTTCTGATACTTTAGTTCGTGAAAGTCTGGGTTATACATAAAAAAAACAGACAGAATAATCATCCCTGCACACCCAAGTATGCACAAGGCCAACTTGTGTGCTGCTAGTGCTATGCAAAGTAAAAGGCATAAGGAATTAAATATTAACAAGTTTATTTTTGGAGTCATTTCAGATGAGCATCCACGTACTGTACTACCTGCCTTCAGGGATTTTTTAAAGCTGTAACCAGTGTCAAATCATCCACTGTGTCTGTTGCGGTTCCCAGCCTAAATGTATTGTTTGAATTGTTCCTCTTGCATCAGGAGTATAATATTCTCCATTCATATGTACCTCGTCTTTATCATTTTTTTCCCAACAGCTGAACTTTCACAAAGGTGTCCTGAAGCAAGAAAGAGAGGAGGATCCCGTTGCCCCGCCAGGTGCTCCTCCGAACCGGCTGCCCCCTCTGATGCCTGAGCGAGACCGTGAGAGGGACAGGGAGCGCGAACGAGACCGCGAACGGGACAGAGGAGTGCGGGATCTGTGGGCTGAGCGAGAAAGGGAGATGCAGCGTCGGGAAAGGGCACGAGGTGAGCGAGAGTGGGACCGCGACAAGGTTCGGGAGTTCGCAAGACCTGGAGAGGAAGAACGGCGATCTCGATCCAGAGACAGAGAGAAGAGGAGGAGAGAGAGAGCCAAGAGCAAGGAGAGGAAGACTGATAAGAAGGGTAAGGCCCCTCGCTGGGATGGGATCAAAGCACAAAGCCAAAAACAAATTTGAAGAAAGGAAATTTATACAGAAGAGAAAGCCAGAATAGACTCAGAAGTGTAGTAGGAATTATAAAAGGCATAGAACAACTTCTACTTATTTAAAAAGACACAGGCGGACATGTTCAGTACATACAACAGATGAATGCTGTCATGCAGCCTCACAGGCATCACTTCTGTGTTTGCAGTGATAACAGATTTCAAAGTGTAGCTTCAGAAAATTCACCCGTTCTGTTTTCTCACCAACAGAGAAGGGAGATGAACCTCCAGCCAAATTGCTAGACGACTTGTTCCTCAAAACCAAAGCAGCTCCATGTATATACTGGCTTCCCCTCACCGAGGAGCAGGTTGGTCCTACACACACACACACACACACACACACACACACACACACACACACACACACACACACACACACACACACACACACTGGTAGTTTCATGTCTGTTGCATTCCGTGCTTTCAGATTTCACTTGTACCGTGCTCCTGAACCTGTGCTTTGTGTCCACTAGGCGGCGCAGAGGCTTTTAGACCGCACGGAGCGGCAAAAGGAGCGCGAGCGAAGGCGCAAAGAACAGCAAGAGGAGGAGGATAGGAAACGAGAAGAGGAGAAGAAAGAGAGGCTGAAGGCCCGGGAGAAGGACGGCGGTGTGGCGGCAGGCAGTGGGGCAGCTGGGCGAGGAGCCGATGGAGACCGAGAACGGGACCGCGGCCGAGACAGGGAGGCCAATCGCAGCCGAGACAGGGAGGCCAATCGCAGCCGAGACAGGGAGGGCAATCGCAGCCGAGACAGGGAGGGCAATCGCAGCCGAGACAGGGAGGGCAATCGTAGCCGAGATAGAGAGGGCAATCGCAGCCGAGATAGAGAAGGCAATCGCAGCCGAGATAGAGAGGGGAATCGTAGCCGAGATAGAGAGGGGGACCGTAGTCGAGACAGAGAGGGGGACAAGAGGAGGGACAGCAGCCACCGGCCCAGGCGACCCTCCCCAGGCGCTGGTAGTGGACGGCGGTCTCATAGTCGTAGCAACCCCAGGGACAGACGCCGCTGAAGGCCCGGAGGCTGCAGGGAAAGCTGAAGAGAAAGAGGGGGGAAGCAGTGTAGCAGAGGACGCAGCAGACAGGAAGTCTTGGGAGGGAGTGTTTCCACGTGGCCAGACTCTTGCCTCATGTTCAGGACTTGTGTCTGCTCCTCACTACCTGCCCCACTGTGCTTTAACTCGTCCACTTCGACGCCAGCGTTGTCTTCCACACACTTCTGCCATTTCCCTCCTCCCCCCTCCCTCCCCTCGCCTTCTTAATGTTCTCACAGGAAAATCCTGATTACATTTCGTTTGTAGGAAAATGTCGGCTCATCTCTCTCCAGTCCCACGCTCTTCTGTTCTCTTTGTCTTCCAGAAGCAAAACTCAGTCCTTTCTCCTGTAGAGAGCAGCGTCCCTCCTCGTCTCTGTGTAGTGCTGTTAGACTTCTCCTTCATTGAAGAAAAAGAAGCAGAGGGCGGTTGTTTTCTGGCTCGCCTCTTCATTTTGTCCCACTGAGGTTTGGGAGCCCGCCTCTTTATTTTAGTTCTGCGGGTACACATTTCCTTCCTCCTCAGAGCCCTGTAATAAAACCAGTTAAAAATAGATCCCTGACCTTCACATATTTTCTAGGATAAGTTTTAATGTTCCACTCTTCAGCACTAAGGTTTTGTTGTTCTTTTTTTTTTTTTTTGAAACTCACAGGCAGTCCTTGTGAAAGTAAGGAACGGTGTTTTGTTTTGTTGAAGTTTTCTGAATCATGTTTGTTTTTTTTCAGCCTTGGAGAGTTGTTGTGTGTCACAGCAGGTGAAGTTAGTGTTAACCTTCATTTCCCACAACGATGCAACTGGTCTCAACACTGTAACTAGAAAAGTGTGATGGGAAGGGACGTGGTACAATGCCTCAATTTGTATTTAGGGGATGTTTATGGGGATGAGGAGAGCAAATAAAATGCTCCAATAATTACGGGAAGCTGAGTTTCCCTGAACTGAATTCTCTATTTGCAAACACCTCCTCTGACTCTTCAATCATATATTTAAGAGGAGAATAAAAATGAAAAGTTTATCTTCTAATAGAGTAATGGTTAAAATTTTAATATTTTTAATTTTGTTTGTAGGTTGAAATGTTTTAATTTAGATTTTTTTTTCTCCCCTCCTTCTCCTGCAAGTGCTGAATGTACCTGAGAATTTAAAAAGTGAATAAATTTAAATTGGTTATCACATTGTTTGCTCAGACATGTTTGTTTGCTCATGACCCGACTGAGCCGCGGAGCGTTTTTGACCTTCGTCTGTTCAATAATGAAAAAAAAAAGAAAAAAAGTTTGGTTTCAAGGAAGATTTCAACTCGTGAGCGAATACTTGCTAATAGACAATTGTGCGCACAAATGAAAATATTTATTACAACATACAGAAATTACAGTAATGTTTTTCCCCAACTTGTACAGATTCACGTAACAAATCTTACAGTAAAATCAAATTTAAGTGCAAAATGTTTGCTAGCAATAACGTATTTACACAACAGTTTAGCAAAATCCCTTGTTCTTCTACAGCAAACAGTAGCCACATTGGGGTAAAAAAAAAAAAGCAGTAGTTTCTTTTATGTTCCCTTTTAACTAATGTACAGTAATAGTACAAGAAGTACAGCAGGCAGCACGTGTGGCAGAAGAGACTGATCCAAGTCAAAGACAAAAGGAATTGTGAGAATCAGCAGTTTCATCTTGAAGAAAAAGACCTACGACTGAGCAAAAGCACACGAGACAACGACAGCATATTAAGACCAGCTTTTTTTTTTTTCTTCCTTTTTTTTTGTTTTTCTCAAAAAATCCACAGCTGCATAGAGACTGATCAGTGTGAGTTGTGAGGGGGAATGTTATGTGTGGTGCACACTCTGCTCATGTGACAGGAGTGGCAGAGGAGATGAGAGTCCAGGGGGAAGCACTGCGAGCCGGGCTTATCGGAGAGCTGCTTGCAACACTCCTGAGGAAAAAAGGAAATAAAAGAAATGTCAAAAATGACTCAGATAAGGAGCGGAATGTGCGCAGAGGAAGTGAGGTCAGCTATCAAACCACTTCATAACCAAAGTGAGATAAGAACTATTTGGATAGGAATTTAAATGAGAGGTTATGAGCTGATGATTACTCACCTCGCAGTGGTAGCACTCAAAGTGATAGTCCTTGTTCATAGACACGACCCTGAGGATCTCTTCACTGCCCTGAGACAAAACAGGAAGATGGCGGAGATGTCAGCAGAGTCTGACTGAACAATAATCGTCTGCTCTGATTCTATTTGGATCCATAAAGAACGTGAAAACTTTAGAAAAACTGCCTTTGAAATGCTCGTCTGATGAGAGTAGTTTGTGAGGTTTCATTTGAGAAGTGGGTTAAACACTTCTTTGCACGCTTTCTGATGAATTTTTAATGCACCAGTTTGTTTCTTTGACTCATGTTACAGCAGTTTTTCAAAGTAAAAGTCCTCTGCTTCTTATATGGTTTGATTTGTTGGGGAACAGACACATATTTCCCCTCAAAATCTGGGCATAGATGTTGGTTGTTAAGGTTTGCTTTGTAAAACTCTGAAGAATAATGTCAGAATGGAGAACTGAGCAGTTACTCACCTCAGTAGGTAAGATGGGTTGTAAACAAGCAGCACACTTCGGAGCAAAAGTCCTGCAATAGGACAAGAGAACATGTATTTGCTGTAGTAACATATTCCTAAAATGTTTGACATGCAAAAACCAAATTCCAGGAGAATAAAACACCCGCATAAAGGCTTTCATCTGGATCTCAAGCGGAGTTAAATGTATTGCTTTACATGTTTAAATGTGGATAAATTTAACTACAGTTTCTATGACTCACTAATTACTTATTTCGGGAGAGACCAACGGGAGAGAAGGCAAAGGTTAACGGTACATTTTACTGCTTTATGTTGCAGGCGGCACAAGCATTTCAAACAAATAGCAAGCCTCACTTGTTGTAGTCTGCAACACAGTAGATGTTGCTGTGTTGGTCCACGGTGAACGGCACCCCGTCCAGAGCCTTGGAGCACATCACACAGCGGAAACAGCCGGGGTGGTACGAGTTCCCGAGAGCCTGCAGGATCTGAGGAGGACAGAGGGTAATTATTTAAAGAGATTGAAAAGCCCTGATGATACGCATGTGGTGTTAGGTATGCATGTGTATGTACGTCCTTAAATGTATGGACCGGTTTTAAGTTTTAATGTTCAAATGTTGCAATATTGATTGGGATTTTTCCTCTTTTTTTTTTTTCTTGCAAACTCCAGCAGCTACATTTTTACTGTTTATTTGTTTTATTTCCCTTTTTAAAAGAACTTTGTGATGTGCATATATTATTAGAAGCTACACAAATGCATTTTACTTTCCACCCAGCACATCTTCAGATCTTTCTATCTGCCTTCCATACTATCCCGGCATTAACTCGATTTATATCAAATAAATAAACTTTAGAACAACTGAATCCTGAAGTAAATGGGCAGATAAGTCCTAAAACCCCTGTTGATGATCACGAGGTATAAACCTGGTCATTTTAAAGCTGCAATACCTAATTTTTTTGACCATATGAGGTCCGTAAATACAATTTGTAAACACAATGTTTATTTATTGTCACCTTTTGACCCAATGTGGGAAAGTTATGTCAAACAGTTCCAGAGTGCTGCTTTTATATTTACATTCTCAGCTTTAAATGAGCAGATTCTTTATTAAATTTAATTACTTCAAGCAGTGATATTCCCAACGAAGCTACCAAGTCTGATAGGAATGCCTTTTTTTTTTTTTTCCTGAGCGATAAACATCTGTGGCCCAAAAACTTGGAGTCGAGCCACTCATGCAGAAAATAATGCCTGTGGATCAGAGCCTCGCTGACAGCCTTCTATTTATATTATGGGTATTATGCGGTTCAAATATGGTAAGAAGTTTAAAGATAATCACTACAGAGCCTTTTTTCTTTATTTATCAAAAACCCAAGGCAAACATTCCAGCGAAAATCTGCCGTGGGAAACCGAAAAAAGAGCCAACAAACAGACGTCACTGAATGTTTCTATCCTCTGAGGGGCTCTTCAAAGGAATTGTGGGAAACATAGGATGTAAATAACTAAGAATTACACAAGTGGAGGACGAGAGCTGCTCGTTTCAATCTGGGAGTATTCGTTGAACATGTGGCGCATTCTCACACACGTCGGCCCTCACCTGTTCCAGAATAAGGTGGCCACACACACTACACTTCTCAGCAGCAGCCTGGAATCCTGAAAACTGTAATTAAAACAAAGAGATTACCGACGGCACAATCCTCCGACTCTGAACATGTCTGAGTGTGTGCAAGAGACGGATGACAAAACACGCCTTGACCTCAACTCTTACCATGTAATCCTCTTTACAGTACACAGAGCCATTGACATTGTAGAAGTCCTTGTTTCTCAGGGTGCGTCCTGCAGAGGGGCAGAGGGGGCAGGATCAGCATGAGAGGAAGGGATTTTTAAAATAAAGTATTTAGAAAATGAGATATTTAGCAAATGCTTCAAGTCATTGTTGTGTTTGGAGGGTGGGGGGGACTCACCACAGGACACACAGGTGAAGCAGCGAGTGTGGTAGAGGTTGTCCAGAGCCTGGCAGGCGTTATCCGCCCCGTACACGCCTTTCCCACACTTCACACAGGTTCCTGCCGACACGGGGGGGGGGGACAACACAACGGACACAAACACGCATTTAGTCGAGGGCAATCGCTCGGCGGCTCTTAGCGCTTTGTTTACGACGCATTCCAAGAGAATGTGTCTGAAATCCAACTCCACACAAAGTGTCAACACTTGTAAATCCTCTCGTTCGCACCACCTAGGGGATTTTCACACAGTTAAAACCCAGTTACCCATGCCAGCCTGTTTGCTCATCCACTCCAGTGTCTCTGTTGAAGCTCTGTTATTAAAGGGAAACTCCACCGGATCTGACTTTTTTTTGTTTTTTTTCTCCTTCCAGAAAATACATGACTCTTTCTTCTGGAGTTTGGAGCCAAGAACCTGCCTTTAAATTTGACTTTAAACCCCACATTTAGAGCAATTTGGAGATTTAACGTGATGGCTTCTTTTTTTTTTCCTCCACTCACACTGGGAGCCACAACGACCTCCGAAGAACACAATTAGTAAATTACAAAAATGATCACTTCTGCTGCTTCCTTAAATCATTATCCAATTACTGCTATTTTTAGGTCAACAAAACAAAAGACTGAGCTGCTACTTTATTGGTCAAATATTGAAAAGAACCAAACCCACTTTTTCAGCTATTCTGAGGTTTCCACTGACATTCTGTTGTCAGGACTAGGAAGGTAAATAATCAACCTTTCTAGGTCAAAATTACCATAAGTTTGAGTTTTGCCATTTAGCTGTAAAAACACACCTACGCTGCTGCTTCTAGGAAACAGCACACCGTCTTTAAAAAGTCACTCTATTTGTGCCAAAGTATGTTCCATAGTCAGCGCACTAAATGTAAAGTGGAAAAGCGGCGGCGGCGGCGGCGGTGGTCCGAGCTTCACTCTTTCTGTGATCTATTTAAGGATTGGCCTGAGTTTCCTTTCTAATGTGGCTGAGGGAGTGCCACACAAATCAAGAATTCCTACACTCTGCTGCTACGAGCTTGGACAGTCCCTTCGACATTTAGGAACAGTGTGTGCCAAAGCCAGAAACCAAAAAAAGGGGCCAGACTTTAAATATAATCTCTGAAATTGCAGCATATATAATAAGCTGGAGGAGAATTGGTTTGGAGCAAATGGGATGGAATCTGTTATATAAATAAATAAATAAAAAAAACAACAAGGGACAAACAGGAGGAGAAAACTCACTGAGGCACAAAAAAATTAACACCAACAACCAAAGAAAAAGTATTTACAGTGCATCTGCCGCGCTAGAGCTAATTAAAGGCCCATCAGAGGACATATTACAAGTTACAGTGTGTGCACCTTGGATTAGCTTTGAACACTGTTTTTCATTTTTACTTTCTTTTTAATTACGA